AAGCCACTTAAAACATCCTCTGTGGAAACCATCTGTGTTACTGCTCTGTGCTGTGCCCTGTGCTGTTTCTTCATGAGCTTCCTCTAAGTTCAAGAGGGACGTTTAAGTATTTACTGAGAGTAACAATATAGTACTTCGTTATCTGAAAAGTACTTGCCCCCTTGCCGCCTTCCACTGTTTCCGTATGAATTTAAGTGATCTAAGGATAGTTAGGTCCATATCTTCCTGAGAATCCCCGTCTCTGGGCTGTACTTCTTTCCCAGTTTCTTCACAAGGTATACTTCTTTGTGCCCTCTCTTGCTTCCACCTGTCCCATTCCAGATGAAACGATGTGGTATGAAGGCATTAGTCATCCCTTCAGGATGGAAGCTCCTTTCTGTCTTAATCTGTTAAAGGTGCTGATAAAGACTAAGCAGGTTTGAGTCCAAAGAGAACCTTCTATTTTTCTGTATTAGCTTTTACTCTTTCAAGAGCAAGGCTACTGGAAGAAAGTCCCAGAGGTGGGCGAGGACCAGAACTGTTGTATGGCTGACACTTAGCTTCATATATCCCTTCCATCATCCGTGAACACTTTATATTGCAAAGCTAGATGTTGAATGCTAAACGCTTTATAAAGGTGAAGTCTTGAGCTCAGGCTCTCTGCAGCCTGAGTAGGTTAAATTCAGATTGTCAGGGAAGCAGTTTGAGCAAGAATCTGAAGACTCAATCTGGCAGCTACAGTTGTGGTTCTTGAAACTTGACTTTTTTTTCCCTGGAGTATGTGTAAAAGAGACAACCAGTCTACAAGAAGTCGATTGTATCTGTTGGGAAACATATTTTTCAGCAGAGGTAATAAAAATAACTTCAGTATAAACAAATATTTCCAGTGAACTCTTGAGTTGCACTTGAAGAACCTTTATAAGAAGCATTGCTGTCTGATCAGTGAATGAGTACATGAATAAGCAGATGATTTGAATGCAACTGATGTTTTATTCACAGCTTAATTCATACTTGAGTGTATATCAAGGCAAGGCATATATCCTGATATTGCTACAGTGAGCTCTGCTGTGAAAACCAGGGATGTTCCATCAAATGATAAGTACCAATAGTTGCCTGTCACTGCAGAATTTTTTTTTCCAAATAGTTAGTTCTTTTCGTGCACTTTTTACTTTGAACTTATACATTTGTCTGCAATCTTTGTGAACTTGGCTATTCCTCCTCCCCTTCCAAGATATCACCTGGGGGAAGCTGCACTTTAATAGTATCCTGTGCTATAATCTTCAGTCATTCATGTAGACAACTTACCAAATGTGGAGAATTGAACCACAGCTCTGATCATCTGGCTAAGGGGATTAATGTTATCTAATGCAGTGCGTTGGTACCAAACAGATTATTAGGAGCAGAAGAGGTTTGGAGGCTGAGAGAGTGAGTTGAAGGAGGAGGGGTGTAAAACCCCTCAGGAAATCAGTAGCCATCTCAATTTGCAACTTCTGTAGTTAATGTATTCTCTGGAGTTGTGGGCTGTATTTGATGGGGAAAGTGTCAAAGAGGATGCTTACTCAAAAGCTGCTTTTTAGAAGAAACAACTATAATGAAGTAACACTTTGTGCTGAAGTCTTGTCTTAGATTTCATCTTCTTAAACCAAGTGCATAAATATTTGTGGCATTTAAAATGCATATGTAGTGTTTCTGGTAGTTTGTTTAGTCTTACTAGGCAAATAGGGATGTTAAACATTAACTGAGTGTTATATAACTGTGGGTATAATTAAATTTAATTTGGTCAAGACAGTTAAAGCATACTCTGTGTACATTATGTAGTAGTTGATAAATGCATTTCTATAGAGACATTCCATTGACTTGCCAAGTAATCATTGTCACAATTGTCATTAATGGCAAAGTTCACTTAAAAACTACAGTGCAGGCACAGGAGTGAATACAGGCTGTGTTAGCTTGCTTGACCTGTCCCAGCTAAACTGCACTGGAACAAGCTTCAGCATCTCTGCCATATTTTGGTCATGTCTGAAGTGTCTGTTTAAACTACAGAATCAGAGATGCTGTTCACGTTCTGTTCATGTTCCTTTTTCCTTCCCATGCTCCTTTAAGCATTTTTGAAACTAGGGAGCTTCTTAGCTATTTCTGTTGCTACATAACTGAGGAGTGAACAGAAACTGAGCTTCCGAGAGATGTGTATGTCTGAAAAGGATGTTAGCAGATATGCGTAATACTCTGCTGTGAAGAATAATTGCAAGAGGGGACTGCCAAATGTATATGGTCCTGTGCACTGGAGGTGTCCCTGGGGCTGGTAAGGAGGGTCTGTGTGCTTATCAATCCAAACCTTGCAGAACTGGCTCCATGTCCCTCTGGAGTGCACGTTTTGTGGCTCGAAGTCCCTTTGACTCCTTGCTCCATACTTCAGTATTTTATTGTGTGAATACTGGGGGGAGAGGGAGGAGAGTGTGTGGATGATAGAACTCTTTATAATTACAAACCAACACCTTTCATGCACCCTAGGTTGGTAAGTGCGTTGGGGTTTTGTGTTAGTAATTTAACTGGGCCTCTATAGTGCCCAGTAGTGTTTTCACTGCCAGGTAGCAGAGTTCTTCCTAAATCTATCCAATGGTATTAAGTGAATTTTATGGCTCAGTCAACTTTTTCCTGTATTCGGCTTTTAGGAACAGGACAGCTGCTAGGCTTCTCAGGTGGTTTAATTCACATATGAAGTTTCAGCCCAGCAAATTTCTTTTTCCCCAAATTACCCATCAAGTTATTTTAAGAGTGATTTACTAATAAAATATGTATTTAGGTATTTACTAAACAAAATCAAGGCCATAAAACATAATGCTAAACAAGATAGCTCTGCTTTTTTTGATCAGCAGTAATCCAGTTGGGTGTATTAAAGGACTGTGTAAGTTGCTCGCACAGGAAATAGCCTCTAGAAAAAATGCCGTGTAAAAAACCCTCTGTCTCCCCTATTCCCCAAGCTCCCCGTTCTCCCCTTATTTTAATAGTAAAGCTTTTAGATATCAGTTACATTCTTTTTCTGGAGTGATATGTGACTGACTTGAGATGTGGAGAAGTTTTGTCTAAAGCTTTATTTAAGGAAATATAAAATGATTTGGAACTATAAGTAAAAGTGATGGGGAAAGGAATTAGAGTTGTTTGTACAGATAGGGTTAGAATGGAAATGTTTAATCTATGCATAGGTATTTCCACGATACCTCATGATTTGGTAACCTGATCCACCTTGTCCATGACAAAAGGGCATTTTGGGTGTCTTATTTAATTTAGAAATCTAGTCCTGAGTATTTTTCCACTTTTGCGTGGTTTAGACTAGCTCAACTCTTTTGAATTCCGTGAATTTTTGTTGACTTGAAACTGATATAAAATGAGAGAAGGATCAGGTTAAAGTAACTGCCAATGAATTTGATAAGAATATTCAGATGTCATGGAGTCAGCCTTTTGTTTTTGAGTTGGAATTGAGTAACATCATCACTGAAGTCAGAGTTGCACCAGCACACAAGACCTGTGTGAGATTAGGAGGTGGCCTTATGCTTTCTGATAGATTCTGTGTGCATAGTATGAGATTGGAAAGATGGCCTGGCAAATGGGAAGCTAAGCTGGAGGAGGGAATAGAATCATTTAGGTTAGAAGAGACCTTCAAGATCATCGTAACACTGACAAGTCCACCACTAAGCCATGGCTCTAAGTGCCACATCTACGTGCTTTTTAAATACTTCCAGGGATGGTGACTCCACCATTTGCTTGTCAACCCTTTCCCTGAAGAAATTTTTCCTAATATCCAAACTAAACCTTCCCTGACACAACTTGAGGCCATTTCCTCCTGTCATTATCACTTTTTACCTGGTGCAGGAGACCTCCACCTTGCTACCATCTTGGTGATGACTGTAGAGAGTGACAGGGTGTGTTACCCTGCCACAAACCTCCTTTTCTCCAGGCTGAAAAACCACAGCTCCCCCAGCTACTCCTTCTAAGACTTGTGCTCCAGCCCCTTCACCAGCTTCATTGCCCTTCTCTGGACTTTATCCAGCACCTCAATGTCTTCATGGTGAGGAGCCCAAAACTGAACACAGGACTCAAGGTGTGGCCTCACCAGTGGTGGGTACAGGGAAACCATCACTGCCCTGGTCCTGCTGGCCACACTATTGGTGGTACAAACCAGGATGCCATTGGCCTCCTTGTCCCCTTGGACACACTGCTGCTCCTATTCAGCCATTGTCAACCAATACCCCCAGTCCTTTTTTGCTGGACAGCTTTCCAGCACTCTTCCCCCAGCTTGCAGCACTGCAGGGGGTGTTGTGGCCCAAGTGCAGGACAAAGTGCTTGACCTTGTTGAGCCTCATACAATTGGCCTCAACCCATCAATCCAACCTGTCCAGAACCCTCTGCAGAGCCTTCCTGCCTTTGAGTAGATCAACACTCTCACCGAACTTGGTGTTGTCTGCAAACTGACTGAGGGTGTCCTCGATCCCCTTACTGAGATCACTGATAAAGAGATTAAACAGAACTGGTTTAATAATAAGGTAAGCCTGCGGTACCTTTCACCAAACCATTGAAAATGTCTCTGTATGTATTAGTAGTCTTTCTTCTCCTGGATAGTGATGCAGTGCTGATAGCAGACAGGGAAGCCTGCACCGTTAATCTGGAAACTGTCATAGCTGAAGATGAAACTCACTTCTCCAGTGTTGCAATATAGCATCACTGGTGTATGTCAAAGAGTATTAGGAGGTACTGTGGAAGGAAAACAAAACTTTGAAATCTTTAGTATCAGTTTGGTCTCTTTTGCATCAAATACGAGCAAGTGGAATGTGAAACTATTTTAAAGCTACTTTTTCCTTCTGAAATAGTTTGGCACGAGTTCTGAAGCGTAGTTAGTTGTTGAATAAAGAAACTTCCCAGCAACTGCCCTTTGATTATTTCTTAATGTAGATTACAGCTGTCCTTTTGGGAAAGGCACATAGCTTAGCATGTGAGAAACTGACACCTTTTTCTTTCCTTTTCAGAGTATCTCCTCTACAGAAGTCCGAAATAGTAGACATGGTCAAGAAACACGTCAATGCCATAACACTTGCCATTGGGGATGGTGCCAATGACGTAGGAATGATCCAGACAGCTCACGTTGGAGTGGGGATCAGTGGCAATGAGGGCATGCAGGCAACCAATTGCTCGGATTATGCCATTGCACAGGTCAGATGCAAAAAAGAGCAACTGCCATATCATCTTGTCAGAAATGCACTGTGCAGCAATGTAGAGCTTGATGGCTTCTTCTCCCCTTCGAACTAGAAGCATCTCTGCTTGTTTCCTTTTCCAGGCACCTGTCTAAAACATATTTTGGGTATATTTTGGGAATTTGTTATTGGTTTGCATTCTTCAGGGCAAAGCTCTACCTCTCTTCAAAGTTTTAGCTTCCTCCTAATAGCTGTGCAGTATCTTGGTTCTTGAGTAATTGGGGGAAGCACTTTCTGTGGTGCTTGTGTTAATATGCTTTTAAGTAACTTATCTGTCTTGTTGCAAGCTCTTTTCTCTTACTACGAGTAGGGCTTATAACCAGGTGTGTAAGAGTTTGGCTGTTTGGCAGTTCTTAGAGGTGTCTCCTCCTTTATTTTTATTCCACTCACTCCTGTGATGCATCCAAGAATTGGTCACAGTTCTAGAGGGCTGTACAGTGTTTTCATTTTACGTATGTTATTTTGATTGTTATTTGAGTGAGTGCTCCCAAACTATTCCATCCAATTCAGCACTGATTACTTGAGCTAAAAAGGAGAGTTAAAAGCCTTTTTGCCTTTTTTATTGTATTACTGAAAAACCAAGATGTAGAATAAAGACTTTAAAAAAAACCAGAAGAAAGGAAGGAGATGCTTCAGTTGCTGGACATCCTCTTAATACTATTTACAGCTGAAGTGCTCTGTGTATGTGTTTGAGACTGATGAAGGGCAAAAACAGATGGAGCTGATGGAAGAGAGATCAATCCACTGTCTCTTCAGTGATCTGTGAACTTCAGCTAATATTCCCTTCTGGCAGGGTGTAGGCAGATTTGTTCTACCAAGTGACATGAAATACTACCATCTTTTGATAGTTTCAGTAGCAGGTGATGTTTTAAAAAGGTTTGGATAAGTGCTGTTTGCACACATAACTGTTTATTGTGTTAACCCTGCTGAGAAGCAAAGTGACACTCTCGAATTGCTGCTCTGTGCTGCAGTCAGATGAAGCACACGCAGTATCAGGTTTGAATAACTGAGACCTTTCACCAAATTTATCTTGAGAATTTTAGGCAGTTCTGTCAAGTACTTACTCTGTCATAAAGAGTTGCCTATTTCAAATGTATAGCATTATAGGGACTGCCAAAATCATTGTCCATGGTATCTTGTAATGACTTTTTCATTTTTAATTTCTGAGGATTATATGTTGCTTCTGCTGTATAATTTAATTGAAAGTTCTTTACTTTGACTTCCTCAGATAATTTATTACTTTTATTTTAATAACTAAGCATAAGCAGTGAGAGTTATCCATGGAAGACCCTACACACTGAATTACTTTTGTGTTGCAGTAGCATTAAATCTGGAGAAGTAATTCCATGTTCATGTGTTGCTTCTGCATTAACAAAAACCCCTGTATTTTGGTTTAGTGTTAGAATGTGGAAGTTGCTTTTGGTTTAAAGTCCAGTTAGTGAGATACTGAACATAGGAATTAATCTTTTTAGTTCAATATGAAATAAAAACTGGTCCCACCAGCACAGAATTGTACCTTTCAAAAATCACTAAAACACTGTGGAACTGTATTTTCTGTGATTGTGTAGAAGTGCTTTGCTGATTAGAAAACATATAAAGAAATCCCTCTTGTAAGGGAGACTAATACTGTATGGTAATGTGGGCTTAAAAAAAGAAGTGTTCAAAAGAAAAACTCGATCTCCGTGGAGTATGTTTCTTTCAGCAAAGACATATAACTCCCACTAAAGTGTTACTGTATGTGCATGCCTTGAAGGCAGAGTATGTTCTTATTGAGTAATTTAAGACGACCACTCTAATGTAGCATCTCATGTTCAAATGGTATTTCAAATGCAGTGGTGCCAGAAGTAGGCACTTATAGAAGAGAAAGTCTCTATATAGGCTCATTCGGGATTCCAGGGAGAATCAAAGCATAAACCAAACAAAAATAAAAAGCCAACTTAGGTCTGACTCCGCTCCAAATAGCTTCCACAGGTGCAAGGAGCATCTGTTTGAATCATCCTTTTCCCTTTAAATGAAATTGTACCAGTGATCTCTATTTAGAGAATTCCCAAATCAAATGATCTAACTGTTTAGTGAGACGGTAATAGACTTTAATAACTTTTTTCCTCAGTAACTAGCTTTATCATCTTAATCCAGAGAACATCTGGTGTCTAGGGACTGTTCCCTTTTCTTAATTAGGAAAGCTGCCTTTTTCAACAAATGTTCTTGTTTCAGTTTTCTTCTTTGGAAAAATTGGCTTGTATTGAGGATGCATTTTCACTGTCTTAAACCCCCCCAGCATGCCATCAGCACACCCTTCAGTCAAGATGGAGGTATCTTTCTAGAAGATAATCTCTGTATGAAAGAAGTTATGCTAGGGTCGATATAGAGATGACTGTGAAAGCTTACACAAACTGTTTCACAGGAAGGCTGGCCAGATGGTCGTAATGTTTCCTGCTGATTTAAAACTCTCTAAATACAGGAGTGTCCAAACAAGGGCAGTGTTGTAGTAGAGCCCTTGTCTGTACTGTTGCTCTGTGCCAGTAGCTGTGCATTTGCATAATTTCAGTGTCAAAACAAATTTAATTCTTTGCCATGTCGTAGTGGAACTCTTCACCAGTGTGAGCAAGCTCAGCACGTTATTTAGGCTGTGAGTACCTTCCTTGCTGTGTTCTGCAGTGCACTCATTTTCATGAGAGCTCCAGAGAAGACTACATCCAAAATGGCCAATCCTTAGTTTCAGCGGAGACAAGTTTTCAGGGTGTGTCCAGCTACTCTCTACAAGAGGTTTGGAGTGACTTTTAAAGACATAGTGGCAAGTTTCCCATCACCTCTGATGTGTTTTGTTAGTGATTTTGATGAGGAAAGTTGTTGCTGTCCTGCATATTAACTTGAGGTATTAGATGTCTAATGGGTCAGCTGCTCCCTTGTGAGTCTCCCAGTTTCAGCCCTGGCTCAAGTTGGGCAGAGACTGAACCATGAAGCTTGGTTCATTTTTGTTTTCTCTCCTTCTTTACTGGCATATCCTAACAAATCTGAGTTGCTGATGCATGGGAGAGGGGCTGCCCTTACAGGATTTGTGGTTCAGTGATTTCAGTGCTGGAAAGCATGGGACCAGAGCTCTCTCTTGACAGTCCTAACTCATTACTTTAGCTTTCAGTTTCAAATAAGTTTTAGTTAAAATAAATGATATAGAATCTAAATTTAGGCAGACAAGTTTTTCCTGTGAAGTCACTTTGTGGAAAAGGAAGCAAAGCAAAATAATGGTCCCACCTTAGTGTCCCAGATGCCTTCAGGTACACACGTGCTAAACAATAAACACAGTCACCAGTTTCAACTGGGGAGCTGGACAAAGGAGGAATGCTTCAGGCCATAAAAAAATTGACTAACAAAACCATCAGTAGAAAATTATACATTTCCCAGGCTGGATTATGAGACTGGTTCTATAAAAGTTCCATTTTCAAAAAGGTTGAGTTTGAACTGTATCTGTAGTTCAAACTAGCATTAAAAGGTACACATTTGTACAAGACTTATTTACTTGCCGTTTTTGGCAAATGCCCCTTTCTACATATATATATATATGCCCCTTATACAATATTTTAGGTGCTTTCTATAACACATGATCACATACATTTTGTATGCTGAAAATGCTAATGTAAATATCTATTCTCTGTAAATGACTCTATGCATCTTTTTTCCACTTTTGTTCCCCCTTGTGCACTTTATATCATTTCAAGACAGTTCTAATTATTAGACTGTTCTTTTAACACAGAGAAGAGATTCTGAACCTTGTAAGCCGTTGAACTATAGGAATGGAATACCAGTCGAAGACTTTTTGCTGATACAAGCCAGTGAAGAACACTTTAAAACATTCAGAAGTTTTCTTACAGAAAGGATGCTACCTGTTTACGTGTTGTTTTTTGCATGTACTGCTAAGCTATTTAAGTTTGCACTTGAATAGCTTTCATATCTGATTTGAGGATTTTTTTTCCTGAGGGCAGGGATTTACTTTATTCCAATTTTTTTTTTAACAATTCTTCGTATATGTGAATACTTCTTTTCTGTCTTTCAGTTTGCCTACTTGGAGAAGCTGTTGTTGGTCCATGGTGCTTGGAGTTACAATCGAGTTACCAAATGCATTCTGTATTGCTTCTACAAAAATGTGGTTTTGTATATTATTGAGGTAAGAGTAACTAAATGGATGGGTCTTACTGGTGCTTACTGCTCAAATTCTCTCTTATAAAAAGCAGAACTCATCCAAATGGATTGAGCTAAAATGATGGGTTTTTTCTTCCATATTTAAGAACTTAAAATTCAGTTTCTCTCCTCACATTTAGTTGACTGTAATCTTGTAACATTTGTAAAAGGAAAAATGAAGGTTTCAGTACAGTGAAGCCTGGGATATGAGATGTCAGGGACAAAGTTAATTTCTTCTGTACAAATATTCTTATTGAAAGCATCTTTGTATTCATGGAAACATTTCAAGTAGACCTTATATTTATAAAAACTTGAATTTGGGGCTAATTTAAATGAAAAGTTTGATAGAATTGGGAAAAACTCTATAGACAAATAGTAAACCAGGCAAAATTATAACTGTTGTTTCCAAGTTACAAAGTGTAGATTAGCTGGAATTGAAATTAGTTTGCCTTGTTTTTTGGAAAGAGAAGACATAATTTTGCCCTACAGTGCCAGTGAAATGATAAAATCAGTCAGGTTATTTGATTTCATAATTAAAAGGTAACTAACTGTCTTTTGCAAATTAATTGCCTGAAGATGTCAAGTAGTGAAACTGGATTTTAGAGAGAGCTGAATACTGTTATTGCCATTAATACATTGCATTTCAGCCTGCTTAGACAGGAGTGTAGTTCTCATGCTGCAGAATATAGTCTTGAATTTAAGAAGTATCAGGAAGGGATTTTTATCATGTGCTGTTGCTTAGAAGCACGTGAGGAACTTGAACTCAGTGGTTTGGTCAGTTGAGTATCAAGTAATCATCTGGTACAGCAATTTCCACAGTGTTCATCGCTTTTATCAATATAAGTCTGTGTGTGTGTGTATATATATATTAGGTTTTCTATTTCTTTCTACAGTTTAGCAGCCATGAATGAGGTTGACAGATAGGAAAATTGCAACATTTAGAATTAGGCAGATAGTTATATCAGTTACAGGAGACAGTGGGTAAGTAATGTTTTGCTATTAAGTAAGTCCTGTAATGGTCAGTGTGTGTGTGTATCTGGCTCTGTCAGGGTTTCATCAGCTTTTGTGCATGATGTTAGACTCTTAGAGAACAAATACTTTCCACTGACTTGTTCCATTTTTCCTGTGCTGTTTCTGAATTAGCTGTTGGTTGTTAAAATTTCAGTACAGATTATTCTACTGCAAGAGTTATCCCACACATCATGTTTTTAGGAAGGTTTTTTACATGCTGTTGGAGATGACAATAATATTCGTTACTGTGCAAAAGGAATATAAATAATTTTTTAAATTACTTTTCTAGTGGGTTTCTTATTGAGCGTGGCAATTGCTGGGGGTTTCCCTGAATTGTTCAGAAAATGCTTAACAGCTTCACGATTACCTTCTATGATTCTTTTCTCCATTTGAAAATTAGTGTGCAAGTCCTGCTTCTAGCCCATTGTAACACTGTTTGTCTTTGCTTCATTTACTGTAGTCTGACAGGTAAATTAAGTTCTGCATTAAATGTATGGCTAAATTATGCTTTCCCACTGAGCAGCTGTGCAAGGGGTTGAAGACAAGTGAACATCTCTGGGACCTCTGGCCAGAGATAGCTGAATCATTTTACCATAGGGAGGAATTTTATTAGCCAGATATCTCTGTATGATACATACAGTGCAAGTCTGCTCTGAGAATGTGGGGTCAGATATTCTCTTCGCCGTCTTAGTCCGTGTTCAGTTCTTTCTGCAGGCTGTACTGAGGCAAAAGAGCTTTTGTGTCTCCTGATATCCATGACTAAGATCAGTTCCATCAACACCTGAGCACTGAAAAATATGTTACAAGATGCAGCCCTGTACCTCAGTTACCCTTCTGTGCTTATACTGCATAGAAGTTGGGAACAAATTTAAGACTTAAGGAGGAGGTAAAATGACAGAAGTAATCTTGTAGTCCTGCAGCAGTGGGAAGAGCTCAATTTGGTTTTAGTTTCCCTGGTGAGTTTGCTTTACTAGCAGCTTTAAGGAACTTCCCCTCCAAAACTGTATAAAACCAGCCAAATTGCCTGGAAACCGAAGAGATACCAGTTTTGGTATCCTGGGGATGCAAGGGAGAGAGGAGAGATCTTTAATTCCCTCCTTAGCTTTGCACAAAGAAAGATGAGTTGTTTTGTTGTTCTGCTGTGAGGCTCAGGAGTGCTGATCAGTCTGTGGTATGGAGTGATGCTCATGAAAGAGAAGCTCCACAAGGGAATAAATCTTTCAATTTAAGTGCACTTCTGCACTGTTGCACAGTTGTGCATATGGTGCATTCCTGATTGTTTCCCAGAGCACTGGACAAATTTAATATCTACCTTTACTTTCTGCTTGGATGTGTGGTGTACGGAGAATATTCTTTTAGCATCATAATGAAACAGGGATTTGAACATGAACTACTTTCTAAGCGTATCTTCTGAAAGATTGTACTGAGTAAATATTTATACAGTTGAATCAAAAAGCGCATTGTGAATATGACTGTCAGTTATACCTTTGTTACTGTATCTGTTTTATTTCAATGAAATTTTAACACCTGAGGAATAGATATTGTAAGCCTTACATAAATGGATTTTGCAGCAGTGAGGCACTGGGGCTCTTCATAACTTTTATTCCCTGATACTATCCAAACACCAGAAGGAAGAGGTGGTGCTCCAGCTTAGCATACAGAACATCTGGACACAACTTGCAGAGGCATGCATTAAGATTAATGCATTAATTAACTTAAGTTAATTAAACAACGATAAATGCTTGAGAAGAACATTGCTGTCTCCTTTCCTAGCATCCCAATGTTGGTATACTAAAACCCCTCATACACTTAGAAGTTCATCTTGACACCTGTCACTCTTATACCCAGGGTATCCAAAGTGTTGCATCTCTGAAACATTAAATTTTATCAGCTTTTCTTCAGGTTCTGGGTTGAAATATGGATTTTGGGGTTTTGTGGGAAGGATACTCAGGTAACTGCCATCATGGGCTTTACTCCTGAGAGACGCTGCGGGGTTTAGGGTGGTGCTTACCTTCATGCAGTGGCTTGTTGTTTGTGGAGAGACAGGCCCAGGAACTGTTTTCAGCTGCTTTGATGACTAAAATGTGCACCCATATTGGGACAATTTCATATAGCTGGAGAGGTAGTATAACAGAAGCCTTGTGGTTTAGTGATTGCAGGGGAAACAGAGGTGAATATATTTCCCCTCTTGCTTGATAAGGCCCTCCTAATATTTTTCAAGAGGTGAATTTTAAGTCATCAGAGTAATAAAGCTCAACGAAGTCTGAGAAGATTTTTGGCTTGGCTTAACAGCTGTGTTCCATTCCTTTCTCTGGCTGATCTCTCCCTTAGCATTTCTTCATCGTTGTCCTTCTGCTGTTCTCTTGATTTCTCCCCTTGATTTTTGAAAATACAAAACTCATTGAAATACAAACAAAAAGCAGAAAGAGCAGCAGGTCCTGGAAATGCAAGTCCTTTTGATGTGCTTCTTAGCCTGAGCACTTGCATATCACTATTGTTGAGGTGCTTTAGGGTATTAAGTTGAGGTTCCCTTGCTTAGGGAGTCACTTACCAAGAGGGGTGCAAAATCAAACCTTTCCATCCACAGAGCTGATTGATACATTAATTGCTGCTGCTTTCCCACTCTTGACTGGCCATGCTGGTTGCAAGGGAACCTACATGGAAAGCTACCAGTATGGCTGCTGGGATGAAATACAAATATAAAACCCTCTCTTTGATGTCCATTCCTATATTTCCCGTGTCTGGCTGCAGTAACGCTGTACACTAAAGCCATTTCTGAGGAAAGCAAACCATTCAGCATCATCCTGAGGCAGAAGGTCAGTGACAAGGTTTTGGCTTTTGAAGATTTGACAGGCAAGTACCTGGGTATCCTTACAAAATACCATTTCATTCAATTACTTATGTACCTGGCTTTAAACTGACTAGTGAAATGAAAGAGCTGTTTCACATCTGTCAAGCAGATATATTTCACTGCAGATGACATAAAGTTGTCCTGATGGTATCAGAGCTTTGAAATATAGCTGATTTCAAATGTAAAAGAACACAGGAATATTGCTTTCATGTCATTCTTGGAGAAGTAAAACACGGCAAGATCAAAGATGAGATCAGAAATATCAGGTAAGAGTTTAAGACCTTTGGGAATGGTTCTGTGGAAACAGTAACATGGAAGATAGCTTTCAGGCCAACACAGTGTGCGGGAAAAGTGTGCTCAGTACTTCACTGCAACATGTTGGTTTTTTGAAATGTGCCTGATATGAAGTGCTTTTGTATTATATATTGTAGAATGAGTTGGGGGTCGGAATAGGTGGTCCAGTGTCAAGGTCTGGCAGTGGAGGGCCAGAAATGGATGACAAGAGAATGGCAAGAGAAATGGCAGAGAAATGGATGACAAGTGGGAAGGGGAGAATATAGTGTCCATCACTTGATGCTGCATTATTCTAATTTCTGCCTTAAGAATCCAGAGATGAATTGTAAGGCAATATTAGAAAGCTTTTCTTTGTGGATCCTGAAAGGGAAATCTTAATATGTGAGCGGTGTTAAACAAACAAGATAAGAAGAAAATACCAGGATCATAATTTCTCTTCTAGAGTTGAATTTTTGAGTTTCAAAAACTCTGAGTAAACGCAATTTATAGATAAACATGCTTTTAAAGAAGTGGTGGTTTAGTGAGTCAGCAAGGTCTGGCAATGAGAGCTGTTAAGTGCTCCACACACTTAGTGGTCACCACTTCAGATGAGCTCACAGCACAGGCTGCAAAAGCACACATGAAATGTTGGTGCTTGAGACCTTTCATTCGTTTTTTCTGTTTTCATGGTTTCCTGTCAATCACAACAGGTATTTTTAAAAATATGGAAAGCAGACATGGGAATTTTAACTCTGTTATCCAAATGGTATGCAGAAATGAGTGTATCTGATATGTTACTAAAAAATATACAGCTCTTATGCTTTGGTGTGCTTATCCCTGATTTATGTGATCTGACTTCTGCCTACATCTCTGTACTTTCTGTTTCCAATTGACTTTGCCGCTCTGAGGTTGCAGCCAGGCAATAGAAAACCAAGCATGGGGATTTTTGCAGTAAGTTGAGGACTGAAGCTCAATAATTGTTGTCATATAAAGCAACTTTCTTAAGAGATGAGAGCAGTGTTTCCCCCCAGTGTTAAATTAAGGATAAGAACATCTGGTTGCAAAATTTTCTAACAAGGATAACAAAAATACAGGCAGCTAGCTGTCTTGTCATACTTATTTATTCAAATTATTCAGTTGCCTGTTCAAGTACTTCCAATGCCTATAGGCATTTAATAATCATTACTTCTGTGTTCATATACTCAGTTCATGTGGTAAGCTTAGCACAATGCTCTAATTATGATGACGCAAAGGACGAATGTGTATGTGACTTCCATTTTACATCATTTGGGAATCTAGCCTTTGGATTCTCACAAATGCACGTGTATCCTGAATAAGTAAGTTAACCTCCATAGACAGGTGCTTTCAGGTAGGCAGAAGGTGGGATTCAGTGTCCTTAAGATTGGTATCAGGTATAAATTAGGTGCCTGAGAGAAATGTATGTAGATTACATTTATGGATGCTCTGGGCTCATGGAGGGCAGTATGGGACTGGCAGGTATGTCACAGGACCTGCTGATGACCATCACCTGTCTGAAGCACCAGTATTAAGAGGTCTATGTTGAGGTGGCTTAATCCTATCCAGAAAATGAAAGAATCTTTTTTTCTGTTCTTATTGCTCATTTGTTTTTGAAACATGTGAAAGGAAAGGAATCCAAATCTCTTAGCTTGGGTAATGTTAATTGTTCAGTTCAAAAAGTGCAGAGTATTTACAGAGGGTACAGCACAGAACTTGGAGACATGGAAAGCACAGTAATGGATGCAGTGTGAGGAGAAAAGCATGTGAGACTCAGCACTGGCTCTTGATAATTTGTGGAAAAACAGGTCTGACAGGTGTACCTATTTTTCTCTTGCACTGTTTATCAGACAGGTTTACAATGCAGAAGACCTAGGGCAGCATAGAATGTTATCCCCTTCCCACCTACCAAAAAAGCCAATCATAGTCTCCAATTCAAGAAAACATTCTTTAGTAGCAATAGTTACAGGAAACAGATACTACGAATAGCCTGCCAACGTTCTTGGAATATTGTAAAAACAGTTGGCCAAAAATTGTCCAGATAGTGCTTTTCTTTTTGTTCTTAAAAATATACCCTAATTCTTTTTACAGTACCTGGTTTGTATCACTACCACTGACAATTCTGTATTTCTGAAGAAATTCAGCATTATGTATAGGATAGTCTCACCAACTTTAATCCATGATTGACTTCTTGGTTTTGGCTTCATAATTGACCATGTTAACCCCAAGAGTTTCCAAGGAGTCACTAAAAAAGATAAATCCATGCTAATTTGCCTCTCTTTTTTAGTGCTATGCACTGCACAGTGAATCACTGGAGAGCACTCCATCTTCTCTGAAAACTAAACTGACCCAGCTATGTAACGTCTGGATTTGAATTTTTTCCAACCATTTTTAAAAGTTATGGAAACTATCAGCATTGCTCTGAATTTATGAATGCTGCCTTAATTACACCCTACAACCAATGCAACCTGGAATTTTTCAACACTCCAAATATTATAAATGATAATCAGCATGATTATCAAATGATAAACCTTAGCATGGTCTGAAAATCTCTGGGTGAAACACCCATCAGGTTCAATACATACTACAGTAGATTACTTCAAGAAGAGATCTACTGTGACATTTTATTGGACACATAATACGTTTGAGAGTGCCTCGATCAATTTACTGTGTACATTTATATGCATAAGAGGTATATGAAAGGCACAGTGATTTTTTTTTTTTTCCCCTTGGTAAAATGTATGCTTAATCTGGTGTGAAAGATCTTAGATTCACATTTGGTGGGCTTATAACAAAGCAATGATAATGCTGTTCTCTAAATTTGAGAGCATTAAATGTAAAACATGTAGTCAGTGTGTTCGTCATGAGCAATGTGTTCATCAAAGCCAGAATCCTGTTATCAGTAAATGTTTTTTCAGTTTAACTATGTCACTAATAAAAATGCAAGTTCATGTTTAGAAGGGAGATAACCTAATGTGAGGAAACTTTTACTAGGGAAACTAAACCTTTATTATGAAAGGTAGGAAAATTCAAACCTAGATTTTTTTCATTGCAAAACCAGCTTTGGAATTCAAGTGTTCATTGTTCTTAATTTGAGCCCCACTCTCTTTCCAAAAGCTAAAAGTTTCCGTATAAAATGTAACTCCTCTTATGGCTTTGAACATTGACACGAAAAACATTGGCTGCTCTGCCTCATTATTGGATAACCCATTGTTTTAATAAAAATAAAGGGAAATGAATCCTCCTTTCACGTAGACTAATTCAGTGCATGTTGTATTACTTGTAGGTACAGAGCAGGCTAAATTTCAACTTTGTATTGATGTTAAAAGTGCAAATAAACCTCATCAGGGAATTACCTGTGCTTAGCACATTCATGCTGAGTTTAGCAATGTATGCTCTGCTGCACTGAAGGGAACAATTTTGAGGCAGTTTTTTTAAAATCCAACACCATAGATACATAGATGCATATGTTGTAATACAGCTATTCACAAATACAACCTTTGGGCCTGCACTGGTTTTCTTTATATTTGGCCTATACTTGTATAAATAAACTTCCTTTAGTAGAGACATTATTCATTTGCATAGGAATAACTGAGAGCAGAGTAAGGTCCTATGCATCTTGCATGTATGGAGCAGGGTTTTTTGTCTGTTTTCCTTTTTTGTTAAACAAGCTATGGGGCTCTTGTGCTGAGGGTGTGAGGGTTTTTCCATTTTTGCTTGTACCTCATTGCTTAAAATAGCAATGTTCAAAATGCATTTCTACAACAATTTACTTGCTTTTCATTGAATCATAGAGTATCCTGAGCTGGAAGGGACCCACAAGGATCATCGAAGTCCTAATTCCTGGCCCTGCACAGGACAACACCATATGCCCAAGAGCATTGTCCAAGCATTTGAACTCTCTCAGGCTTGGTGCTGTGTCCACTTACCTTGGGGCTCTGTTCCAGTGCTCAACCACCCTCTGGGTGAAGAACCTTTTCCTTATATCCAGCCTAAACATCCCCTGACACAGCTTCATGCCATTCCCTTGAGTCCTATTGCAGGACACCTGAGAGAAGAGATCAGTGTTTTTGAAAACGGTAATACACATGCTTACAAAGGAGGCTGAAGGGGACTTGCCCTGTCACCAATGACTGCTGACAAATTGGAACAGTGAATCGAATTCTTCGGTGTAGCTTTGAGGCGCTCAAGTTAAAATGGCTCTGTAAACGTGCATATTCTGTGACTTAATACAACTTGGAAGACTTGAGTCTTCCAGGGGAGAGAAAAGCAGAATTACTTCTACTCAGTTAGCTGTATCTGCCGCAGTTAAACTCAGAAGTTATCCTGGTATTTAAAGACATTGCTCAGCCTAGGTGTGAAGAGGGGTTTGCTGCAGTTCTTTTTGCACAGGTCTGTGTAAAGCATTTTTAGGTAGTGACAGAGTTTGGAAGTGTTGCAGACAAGGTGTAATACTGATTCACAAGTCATGCTTTTGTGCAATTTCACAATGGGGAACTTAGCTTGGAGCCCACATTTGAAAATGTGTGGTGGCTTGCCTGTGAGCAGTCCTACTGAAGTCACTGCATTTTCCACTTCTCTGCCAGTTCTTTAGAAATAAAATGAGTTTATTTGTCCCAAGCCATGTGCTAGGATACTGTTTGTTGTGTGCACACAAGAAGTGTGCTGGTCTGCATGGGCTGTGTTTTGCTTGACTGAACTGAAGTCTGCCTGACTGCCAACTGCTCGCTTGTGGTACAGTAAGGCTTTATGGCTTAGTTTTTCTCGAGCGTGAGTAACTTGAACATAACACTGAAACATTCTGTTTTGTGTTCAGTTTTATAATCTTGAAGCATTTTATTCATGCTTTGTCTCTTTGGTCTTGACAAGTTCAGCAAAAAAGCTAGCCTTACCTGAGCTTCTGTGCTACAGCAGTGTCAGTGATGACTTCTCCCTTGTAATTTTTGGTAAGGGCATTTCTCTGGCATCTTTAGAGGCACCACTGGAGTATATGTTTCTAAAGGTCAAATTTTTCATGGGTCCTTGTAGCACAGATGCATACAACTGATGAATTCATAGCCTTTGGTGTCTTAATGCTGCTTCATAGACAACTCCAAAAACCTTCTGAATGCTAGCTCAGGAATGTAGGGTCACCAAATTTTTGGAATATAAAACTTCTTTCCAGTATCTGTGTTGTGAACTGAGCCAGTCCTAATTATTTTGAGGTTTCTTGGGTTTTTATGCTCATGACCCAAAGAAGCTAGGACAGAGAACAAATTCAACTGAATACAGA